CTCCCCCCCCCCCGCAACTGGTAATTGTTTTTGCGCCTGTTGCAATGTTTCAACAGCAAACACACCCACCCCCCCCCCCCCGCCAACCCCCCCCCCCCCCCCCCCCCCCCCCCCTACCCGGGTAGCTTTGAAGGCGTCTTGCATTTTCATTACCCCAATGGAAGCTACTGTCCGCACCATCGCTTCCTCACGGTGTCTTTTCTTAGACCTTCCACCTAGTTGCATTGAATTCTGCCCAGCTCATCCTAAATACTTCGTTGTTGGCACCTATAATCTGGAGAAAGAAGAAGCGACAGCGGTCCGAGAAGATGGCATGCTTGACGATGAAGATGAACCCGAGGCCGTGAGGAAACCTCAGAGCCGGAACGGTAGTCTTGTGGTGTTCCAGCTTGTTGGGGACGCCTATGACATGTGAGCTTCTTGCTCCGCTCGTTTCTTACTATCCCGGAAGAGCCTCCCTGACAAGCGTCATATTCACTACCCAGATCGCACATCCAGACGCTGTCTTATCCGTCGGCCCTGCTTGACTTGCGCTTCCATCCTCATCAGGACAAGCACGACGTCTTGGCGACGGTGTCAAGTACCGGCACCCTTTCATTCTTCCGACTGTTGCCAAGCGAGCGGTCATCCACTCCCTTGATCAAGCTGATTACTCACAAGCCGCTCGGAAATGATGAAAATGTGTTGTTTCTTTCGTGTGCATGGCATCCAAACTTGCCCTATCTTCTGGCCGTTACTACGTCGGATTACCAAGTTCATATTCTAAACATAGATGACGCCTGGAATGCCCATCAAATCTCGTCTTCCCCAGTAATAACGCATACACTCGAGGCCTGGACGGTAGCGTTCTCGCCGTGCCTTATCAACTCTGTTGATGCTATCAGTGATATCAAACCAGGTGATTCGCGAGGCTTTGCACTATATTCGGGTGGCGACGATTCCAAGCTCCTTACTACAACTTGCTTTTATAAGGAGGAATTAGGTGATGACGCTGAGAGCAATTCCGATGCTATGACTGCCCCTTATCCTATAGTTGCAATCAAAGGCCACACGGCAGGAGTCACGGCTATATTACCACTCTCCTTGACGCTCGTAGATGGATCTGGAGTTTTGGTCACGGGAAGCTATGATGACTGCATCAGGGTCTACTCTATCCACTCTCAGATTGGCGGTGTCATGATTCGGCCACCTCAGTTGCTTACAGAAGAAAACCTCGGCGGTGGTGTCTGGAGGCTGAAACTGGTCAACCTAGAAAAGCCGAGTATAGAGACCACTGGCTCGCAGGTACAGTGGTCAGCATTGATCTTGGCGTCTTGCATGTATGCCGGCACCCGCATTCTCGAGCTTCGTGGAGATTATAGTGGCTCTTGTCAAATCAGCATCCTTGGACGATTTGAGGAGCATAAAAGCATGAACTATGGCAGCGACTTTCAACCGGGAACGGAGCATGGCGGAGGGACATTGCACTGCGTGTCTACCAGCTTCTATGACCAACTGCTTTGCCTATGGGAGTTTGATTTGGGCAAGTAGTATTGCCAGATACAATAGAGATGATATGACTTGGCCAGTGAGCCTTATTACAATTCAAGTTAGAAAGAGTTGAGAGTAAATTTGGTCTGAGCTGGATATAAAGTACATGTTGGACCATGCTGTGCGATTGAAAAATAATGGTAGACTTCGTTGGTGTAGGTATATACGATGCGGTCCATGCCAGTAGCACATGTACAGTTGTACACTAGAGGATGAGCTTGGCTACTGCCCAGGATAGATTCCTGACCCGTCTACGCCTGAAGAGCAACTAAATGGTTCTTGACGAGTAGGTAAGCACCTAGCTATGAAAGCGGAAGAAAATGACCTGGCAAAAGAACCAGAGCTTATATTTGAAGCAGGTTGACTGTCCTTCACTCTTGGAGTGATCTGCTTATATACAGAAATAGACCCTTAGACGTTGGTCGCGTGTTGCAGGCTAACAGATTTTACAATTACTTATATGTCTCCCTTACCTACCTCCCTGCCTTAGGTACTTACCTAACTACTACCTAGAGGTAGGTAACAACCTACTAACTTTATTGATGAGTACCTAGGTAGTTCCTCTCATAGATAAGTGGCTGGGAACATCTGTAATTACACTACCTGAAATGTAGGTAGGTATCATCATGTTGAGTCCCGGCCATAAACGGCCAAGTGAATGCTAGGTTAGAGATTGTGGCTAACAGACAGAGCAAAGATCAAGGGTTAGGGTCCTGCTTCGAGTTAGATATTTTATCCATACATGATATGGGACCCTCGAGAGATTGGGCGTGCAGTAGAGACCGATTTGGAACTTGAGCAGCTTACATCATCCATGTAAAGCATCATTCTACCTAGAACGTGAGGTTATATCATCAATGAGGTACTTTACCTAGCTACCTGCCTACCTCATACAGTACAAAGTAGGATAGGCTACCTAGGGTAGGGAGGTACTTAAGTAGGCTAGACAGGTACATGGTCCATTCTGCTCTAGCCCACTCTGTATGTGCCCCCGCTGAGTCTGTAAGGTACCTACCTAACCCACCCAGGTACATCGCACCACATGTGCACTACTTGTGCAACTGAGGCTACATGTACTCGGCAGAGGGGTACATTCTTAGGTAGCATCTCAGGTCTCGACCCTGCTTGTCTCATCCATGCGTGAAAAGAGCTGGAGGTACGTCTGAAGAACTTCTCTTGCTCATTTGCAGATGCAAAATTCGTTACCTACCTATTCTCCAAGAAAGAAATCTTCCATTACCCGTCCGGTCCCTACCTACCTACCACTTCCCTGTTGCCTCAATCGTTATCTCAGATTCGACTATACCGTGGTTGGGACTTGCAACCGCGTCTTGCACTAATATAAATAGATATCTTTTGCTAACACTACGCATATGCAAGCTTGTCTCTGCTTTTCCCAACTATACCCGTCTTTTTCTTAAAGTCTCTCTAGAGCTTCGCTTGCCCGCTTAGCTAGACTACGACACTTTGCCTGATGACTCATATTTAAGACAAGATAGTAGCACGAATACTGTCGCCCACTACCCCTCCAGCGTCGTCATCGGCCGATCGTATAGCCCTTCCACCGCCACTATTGTCGTTGCTATTATTATTGCTGTCGCCGCTGTAGCTGTAGCTGTCGCTCCCGCTTCCCACCCCGCGCCGCCATGGTTGCGCAGCCGATCAATGGGGGTATGGGGATGGACGGCCGGGGCGTTCTCGCCATAGCCGATGGGACTCGAGACCTCGAGGTCCTGCCCAAAATACAACAAGCCCTCGACGTCGTCTACAGCCCGTACTCGTCCAACGACCAGCGCAAGGACGCCCAGTCCTTTCTCGAGTCGGTCAAAGATACCTCGGAGGCACCCACACACGGCTTTCGTCTAGCCTCTGACAAGAGTCAACCCCCGGTGGTCAGACACTATGCACTTTCTCTGCTCGAGCATGCTATCAAACATAAATGGGGAGGCTACGCCCCGCAAGAGGCCGAGGCTTTGCGTAACTGGGTGCTAAGGCTGTCGCGTGATGTTGTGAAGGCAGACCCGGTTTATTTGAGGAACAAGATAGCTCAGTTATGGGTCGAGGTCGCCAAGAGGAGTTGGGGAGCGGAGTGGATGGACATGGACTCCCTTCTTGTTCAGCTATGGCAAGTACCCGATTCTGCCGTGCATAAGGAGTTCGTGCTGGCGGTTCTAGAGGACTTGTCGGACGAAATCTTCAATGGCGATGACATGGTTGTTCAGGTTCGCGAGAGGACCCTTAGTAAGGCCTCTGTTGAGATCTTTACGCCTGTCGCAGTCTTACTGGAGGCTTTTCCGCACCGCGAAGCGGGACCTGACGTGCGCTCTGGAGAGGAGGGTTGGCTGGCACGAATAGTCGACCTACTGCGCCAGTGCTTGTCTGGGGACGTCCAGAATAACGAAGACTTGCGTAGTTGCGCTATTCGCGGCTTCGCTGTCATGTATACGTTGATGCCATGGGTCATCCCAAAGTCGGTTGCTATGACGGGAGCTATATTTGTCATTTGTGAAGGCCTGCGCGCCACTCACATCGAAGTTCAGAAGGTTGGTACCTTCAGCTCCGCCTTATCCAACACTATTCGCTGACTAGAACAGGCCTCTCTAGAAGCTTTACACGCTCTATACTCTCGTACTAGTTTTAACGATGAAGAGTTTTCGGAACTAGTAGTTCCATTATTCGATACTCAATACGTAACACTTTTCAGACAATTATTTGAGTGGTCTATCGTCGATCCAGACGACCTAGATGATGACAAGTACCAGCTATCCAAAAAACTCTCCGAGGCATGTCAACAACTGTCTGTACTGTTGTTAGCTCCGTGCTAACTATTAGCATAGTTGATATCATACCTGGGCAATTACTTGGAACGACGATTTTCGGCATTACCCACAGACCCGTCAAAAGTTGACTTGATGGGATTTTTGCAGCTACTTGTTCTCATTACTCAGAATCAGAGCTTGGTGGTTTCGATTCCGGTGCTGGTCACGTGGTGTCGTTTGCTAAACCATCATGGTTTGGGACCGAACATCGCGGCCACGGCTGCAGTGATCGGTCCCTTGCTGGAAGTCTGTAGCAGCAGGCTAATTCGATACGAGAGTCTTCCTGAAGATAGCGAAGACCCAACTATTCGCTTTTTATTTGAAGATACTGATACTTTCCCTGAAAGGCACCTTTTCTTAGGCAACTACCGCCGTTATGCTTCACAAGTCATTGAGACTATCGTCTACCTGAAGGTATCTGACGCAATGCAACATATACTTGGACAGACTGAGAATGTCTTAGCCCATCTCTATGACAATTCCCCGCCCCTTGACAGTAAGGATTCTTGTCATATGTGTCTTATGCTCTACTAAATATCCACAGTGGCAAACTATTCAAAAGTATCCCAGCCTGTGCTGCAGGTCGATGCGCGGGCAACGGTTATCGAAGCAGCCCTCAAAGGTTATAGCAAATGGCGGGCTGGGATCGGGCGTGATGGTAAACAAGAAGTTAGTTGTTGTCAAGATCGCTCTGCATGCAACCTGCTAAACTGTAACAGACCCAGACGCTTAGCACCCTTGAAAGCAGCTTAGAAACATGGTGTAATCGGCTCTTAGGGATGAAATTTGAGGTTTGTTTTGAAAGTCTTGGATCGTTTAAGATTAATAACTGAAGGTGATAGGATCCTCTCATAAGAAAGAGAATTTTGCAGCTTCTTGTGGCGTTTTCCACCTCCGTCCTCGATAAGAACCCGGCATTTATGCTTAAAGTCCTTGAGCATATACTTGTTACCTGGCCCGCTACTCACCCTGAGTACAAGCTATATAGCGATGCAATCAAAGATCTCCAAGGAGAAAGTATGGTCGAGCTTCAGAGACTCGCGGCTAAGATGCCTGATCACCTACTGGCAAGCTTATCAACGCCTAGTTCGTCTACTTCAATACTAATTTTAAATAAAGGATGTATATGATCAAATCGCAGCGAAGGTCAATGAAATGGTTGCGTCTGGTACATTGGATGAAAAGCGCCAAATTACATATCAGACCTTCCTCTTTACTATCATGTAAAACCACCCTTCCTTTTCCATGAGTAAGTGCTAATATCTTAGCAGCCACCGGTCCCGTCGTCTAGATCAGAATACCAAGGTTCAAAAACTGCAGGGATTTCTTAACCCCATAAGGACACAATGGCAAGATTCCCAATTAAAACAAGGTCTAAGTTCCCACGCCAGCTTTTTTGAGCTCATGGGGCTAGACAAGGCTCAAGGGTACATAGTTCACAAAGGAATGCACAATATCCAAGATTGGGGATCTGTGGAGCTCGATGAGGAGGGTAAGGCATTGCAGGCTGAGCTTGAAGCAAGACAAACCGTGAGTTTCACTTATTCTTGGTGAAGAAAGACCGCAGCTCAAATTCCTCCAGAGTATACCCTTGCGCTTAACGAAATCGTTCCTCACTTGCTCTGTCGATAAAATTGAAAGAGGCCAAGAACCCTTTCAAGTGTCGTCTCTTTTATGGCAGGATTACTTCCCCATCATCTTACCGGAACTCCTCAAATTTCTCAGGTACGGTGATCGTTGCTCGCACCAGAACCCTCGGATGCTGATCTTGTAGTTATGCCCATGCCTCACATTCTCCAAATAATTGGACCGTTCTCCCACCGGAGATGAGAACTATGGTCGGTCGGATACTTACGGATCGCTTCTGGCAATCTGGTATATCTGAAGGCAGCAAGGATGAATTCTACGCTCGCGTGCTAGAAAAGAAGCATACTTTCGAGGGATTAGCTTCAACTATTCGCGGATCCATTCGATTTGTTCGGGAATCCTGCTATGCAATCATCTACTGTATGACACGACTTGAGACCCAGTTCTATGGGTTCAGCGAACTCCCAGGGCCATTAGCTCATGCCCTTCTGGCTGAGACTTCTAGCTTATCAGCGCATCAACTCATCAACCTTCTGAACTTGGTTAGATTCCTGGTTGATAATTGCCCGGTTCCCTTACGAGATCACTTTCTACCCCCTATACTGGAAGCATGTTTTCGGCAGATGGATGCTAGGGTGCATGGTGAATGGACAAAACTCGGCGAGCAACAAACTATCAAGTCTGCAGGAGATGACTTGACAGAGGAGATGAAGAACGAAAGCATACTCAGGCAGCTTACCTACACATCCGTAATGCTCGTAGCGGATTTTCTGGATCCTGCTCGTAAGAGTAAGTTGGCTACTCACCCCCGAGTCGCGTATACTAACGTTGCTGGCATAGATCTCACCAAGGACCAAGATGGTTCTAGTGAAGACTTGCGGAAATGTCCTTCGTTAAGAAATTTCTGCCTGATGCACTCCTCCATCGTAGAGCCTCTCCTCTTCTTCTGTACCCGTGTGATCGGGGTGAAGGATACAAGATGCTGTAGCATCATGCTGCGGGTTTTGAAAACTGTGGTCCCAGAATTTGAGACTGTGGTAGTCGACGCAAACACGCTGATGAAGAGCCCCGAGGCCAAGAGTCTCGATAATGCATGGATCCCTGCCGAGACGGCATCGGTCATTCGCGAATATATATCAAGAGACGTGATAATGGCTTGTGTCACGTCGCTCCACGAACCTTACTTTGTCGAGCAGCAGAAGGAGCTAGCAGCTCTCATTGCTACGATCGTCGTCTCCTATAGGTACCACAGCACAACCGCGCGGGACATACTCGTGTCCCTACCGAATATGAAAGCCGAGGACGTGGACAAGGGCATTGAGTTCATGGTTAAGGGCGCTACCAGCTTCCGCGGTCAAAGAGCAGTGATTCTGGAATTGCTACGTGACCTCAAGGGCGTGAGTGTCTCAGAAATGGGGAAGTTGTCCAAGAGCATCGGACTGCCATCGTCACAGCGTTCTTCGAGGAAGCCAACGCGTAGCATGATGGCGCAGAAATTCATGACGGCACCAGAGTCCATGAACGATGGAACAGAAGGTGCAAACGCAGATGCGGACAACACCAATGGACTAGATGGGATCGCTGGGTTATTCCAAATGTAGTTGACTTGAATGACAGCCCAGCTGCCCTTAGGGCTGCGGCACCCAAGTTCATTGCTGTAATAGCCTGCCCAAACCGCTCTGGTTTTATCGCGACTTGGACAACTAATCCACTAGGTGTCACGGCTGCGTAGCTATAGTAGTTAAGCGATGTGTGTTTTTATTTACTTAACTATGCAATACCCCTTACCTGAGCATGACATGACAGTTGGATTTTCAAGTTGTCACTAGATGGGCTTGTACCTGTAGCACCAATACAAATAAGTTTAGCTAGCTAGTATAGTCGCCGTCCATTAGTCCTCAGACTGAATGATTAATGAATACAAAACTAAAACTAGACGGGTATATTTGAACCTTCCGAGATATGCTTTCCTTTCTAGTGAAGCTAATAGCTCTGAATTCATAGGTATCTCTTATATCGCTTACATTGAAAGCCCGACTTTCTACTTATACCTCCGGAGTCTCGCAATGGAGCGAATGACAACAGAGTATATCTACCTCACTAGGTATGGGGCATAACCCTAACTACATACATGTATCGTATGTATCTTCATCAAGTACCTCAGTAGTACAGTAGTGCAGTAGTGACGGTATCAGCATCTATCTACCTATGTCGAAGAGACACGAGGGCAGAGACGAGGATGAGAATAAGAGGGAGCCCGAACAAACGAACAAACGAACAAACGGGCTGGAGTGGGCGCCCTGCACGGTGGAACTGCATCTACAGCACCTACCTAAGGTACCTAGGTAGCTGGTACTTAGGTACTTAAGGCTAGTGGGAGTGGTGGGACATATGAAGGTAGGTAGGTACCTCCACTCACTCATTCACATCGCATCATCCATCCCAATACCACTACAGTAGGTATCTATCTGCCATCTTATGTACATCGTTTCTGAGAGGGGAAATGGATATCGCCGTCTCCAGTTCTCTCAAACCGCATACGACTTAACACATGTTATGTTGCAATAAGCATTCGCCGGGCAACGTGGACGTGGACGTGGACGTGGACGCGAACACGTGCATTCAGTCCAACCCCGGAAGCTCATGATAAAAGCCCATAGCGCCGATACAGATAGAACGATACACAGCCCCTCCGCGCCCTTCGCTTTGCTTTCGGCTTGCTTTCTTCTCATTGACGGCAGCACGGTGCATAGCATACTTATGCGCAAGCCTGAGCTCTTCGTAATGAGGCCGAGGCCACTTACCCATCCTGTTGGCTAGCCTTCCTCGCAACACCATGGCCGAATATGCACTCATTGAGACCGAGGAGCAGCTCTGGGATGGTATGTCTCCGGCAACCCCCCAACCCCCTTCCCCCTTCCCTCCATTCTCCCCACACAGCCACCCGCAACCCTAACTGATGGTGCTTCGTCTTAGAGGTTTCCTCCGTCGTCTCTACGAAGTGTGCCCCCGATGCGCACGAGGCCATCGACGACGCTCTACGCACATGGTTGTCCCTTGCTTCCAAATGTCGCATCGACTTTGCCCTCTCCGAAGACGACGTCGCCGCTTGCTCACAGCAGCTCCTGCAGGGCAGCCTCTTCCTCGCCAATCCAGACTATGTGCGCACCCAGATCATCTACAGCTTGTTGCAGGATGATGAGACTGCCCACCTATACCCCATCGCTAGCTTCCTACTGCTCGACGGGAGGGCGAACGAGGTCACATTTCGTAACATGATCGAGGAGAGCTGTTTTCATCGGCTCATAGAGCTGATTAATGGTCGCAAAGAGCACGACCCCTCCTTGCATCGGCTCCTCCTCGAGCTGATTTATGAAATGTCACGAATCCAAAAGCTGCGCGCAGAGGATCTTATACATGTTGACGATGGCTTCGTAAACTACCTATTCCAACTTACTGAAATTTTGTCCGACGACGTCAACGACCCGTGTCATTACCCCATTGTTAGAGTTCTGGTAAGCTATCGCGAATACATCCCACGCCCCTAAATGTTAGGAGTAGAACACTTGACTCACATCGTGGTAGCTGGTTCTGAATGAGCAATACATGGTCGCATCCGCTACAGCTGTCGCTGGTTCTGATTCACCAACCGCTCCTCTAACCAACCGAGTTGTCAAATGTCTAAGTCTTTATGGGACGCATTATAAGACATTTGGCGAGAACCTTATTCTTCTGTTAAACCGCGAAACGGAGACGTCGATGCAATTGCTTATTCTCAAGCTGCTCTATCTCCTTTTCACTACGAAAGCCACACACGAATACTTCTACACAAACGATCTGCACGTCCTCCTCGACGTCATCATCCGTAACTTATTAGACTTACCAAACGAGCTGACCTCTTTGCGGCACACATATCTCCGAGTGTTGTATCCTCTACTTGCACATACACCGCTCAGTCAGCCTCCTCATTATAAAAAGAACGAAATACAGAAGGTCATGAGGCTGTTGGCGGGAGTTGGAAATGCGCATTTCGAAGCCGCCGATGAGACGACGCTACGACTCGTGGACCGTGTAGAAAATGTCAAGTGGCTCATGGAAGATGTGAACAGCCCTGGGGAGATTGCCCGCAGGTCTCTCGGTATTAGTTTGTCGCCTACAGAAACCGCGAGTAACATTAGTGTTGTCGACGTGGCGGCGGTCACGGAGAAACCGGGGGTGCAAACGCGAAGTCGAAAAGCGGAGGGTGAAGCTGAGCTAGATGTTTCTCAGGCCGAAGTCGACATGATGGTGATGGAGACGGTACCGCCACTACCTCCAATGCCCAACCGAGCAAAGAAGATACCCCCCGCAGTACCAAAGCACCGATATGGAAACCCGTGCATACCGGTAGCACAACATATGAACGGTAACGGGACCGCACCTAAGAAGGTCCCACCGAAGGTTCCGCCCCCACGGCGCAAGGGCAGGTTCAAGACGGTGTCCTCGGCTTCGGAGGAAACTGAGCTAATCTCCTAATATAAATGAAAATCGGGGGAAGACATGGGCCAAGATTTGCTGTTAGAGCATGGCTCATAGACAAATGGTTCGCAAGCACGATGAGAAGGCATTGTTACTCTACCATTTTAGGGACCTAATAGGATTAAGTTGTTGAGTTCAGAATGGCACTTCCCTCACGCACAAGTCACGGATAGGGCATGGATCAATGTGACAGGGGCCCAGTTATGGTTGGATGTTGGTGATACCAACTGTGTTGGTTTGCATTCGGCATGGCGTCGGAGGTTCTTTGGTCTTGAGGATTTGAAGATGAAGGGGTTGATCATCCAAGTGATCATCCATTACTTGGAAGAGAACCTGGGCTGAAATTCTCAAGCTGCAACCCATGCTACTAGTGCAAAATGGATATCCTAATCAAGACATCACGCTGATATATGTAGAAAGTGTATGTTACGATTTCGGTGCGGTTGAGTTGCTGAGGCCTGTTGGCCGATTTTGCTTAATAGATTTTATTATAGAATACCCACTAAGTACCTACTTCTCAATAAATGGTTATTATGGCTTCTACCTACATAGGTAGTAGACTGACTGTCTAGGTACGTTGCTTACCCAAGGCTAGTCTGGTCAGTACCTGGTGATGAATACTTTCAGTATCTAATCTATACCTATTTCGTAATATACGGTAAGTAGTGCGAGTACATAGCATTAGGCATTAGGTGTAGATCTCCGAACTTGAGCGCAGAGCTGTCTATGTATTATTCATACATTGAACTAGGTAGGCGAGTAGGTAAGGCGAGTATGATCTGATGGACTGGGGAGGTATCCTCAGATTATCTGGTGAATCTGTGCGACAAGATGAAGCGTTGCCATATCTATATGGGAACTGCCGCACAGAAGCATCATCACCATCATCATCATCATCGTCACATGGGTATGACAGATTCCTTTTTCGACGTCGTCAAGACTACTAGCATGAACAAGTGGGGAGGGGGGAGGTGGGAGGTGGGAAGGTATCGTGGTGGCTACGTCATAGCGAGGACGGATAGAGGACCGATCGACTAGCTTGCAGGCCCCTTGTTGAGTGGAGACTACCTACCCAAAAGCGGATAGCGTTAGGTGAGCTAGCCCGAGTAGCCATCCTCGCCATGATCTTGGCGGGATCCTGGCGAGGGACACACACCAAAGAGGCGGCGCTGGCCACTCGTTAGTGGTCGATGAGGGGCAGCCAGTTGAGCCAGTGTGTTGCCGGCCAACAGGAGAGATTCGTGGTACTTTGGTAGTGCTGCCGATGACGACAACGTCACTACCCGAGTACCCTCACCACCCACACCACCACGCCGAGTTCCGCTAAAACACATTACTAGTACCTCTGTCCAGACTCTGTCCAGACTCCCGAGGTCTGTTCCATACATTACATACTTACTTACATACTGTAGGTAGGTAGTAGGTACTCACATACTTATATACATGGGGTGAGTGGTGAGCGCACCCCCAGCTCAACAACACCAACGCTAACACAGCCGAGCGACTTTGGCTGGTTGGTGATGCTGCCACTTGTCATGCGAGCCCGTTCATGTCCCGCGCTATCAAGAGACTTGTTTGGCAATCGAAACTACATAGTAATTGTACAGCGAACGCGCTTTTATAACATTCTATCCCCTACCTACCTCCTACCCAATTGTTCTCCTTTAGGTCCCTCTGTCCCCCCCTTTCCCACCCGAACCTTCTTCTGACGAACACGGCCGCCGGGGTGGATGCTGGGACAAAGAAGACAAGCAAAAGAGGTATGTCAGTCATCATTGTGCTCCCTCCTCAGCATCAGAGGTGCCATCTCAGAAATGCACCTCCGAGACGTCATGGCTCGGTAGTTATGACCCTACCCTTATTATCCCTGCTGTTGCGGGCGTCGTTGGCGGCAATGACAACGGCGCACAATGACCTTGGTATCATATCCACGCATTACACGTATTACCGCTAACTAAACAGTTTTCATCTAGGCTAGCATCGCCCATTGGACTACTGTAGGTATTTGGGGCTTTGACTCGATTCATTTCATTTCACAACCCTTCCAACCGAGTGGCTTGAGCTAACTCTAGCATCTTCTATCAATCCCACATTGGAAATTCTATCTACCACCCCTCTAGTTTGCTTAGGCATCTAGGTACTATCTTGGCTTTATGAAACCTAAGGCTAACCCACTCATCCCGCACTAGTTACCAGACATCTACACAATCTACCCTATCTAGGCAGTCTAGAGCTTAGTTCCTTACACTATTTCCGCCAAGCCGACAAGCCGAATACCCGATTCCAATCGCTGAAGTCCGGGGCTGTGCCATCGCGTCATGTCATCGGCCCAGGCTCAACTTCCCATGCATCTCACCAATAACCCAGCTAACAATCCAACCTCTCTCGACGGAGCAGGCTTTGCAAACGCTGCTGGACCTACGCATCACCGCTCGCCATCCGCGAGTTACTTTCCCTATCCGGCACAAGACATGGCCGTGGAAGATCAGACCCTGTCCAACACGATGGCTAACGCCCACATTGCGTCGTCTGTACCTACTGATAACCACCAATATCCGAGTCGCCAGCCTAGATTCAACGAAGAATGGGACTCAAGCGTGAGAGGGAGCTCCGTCATCGATGGCCCTTCTGCCCTCCATCACCAGCGACTACAGCAACAACAACGACAGCGGTCACAGAGTCCTAATGTACATCGGGCGAATTCAATCTCTTCGCGATCCGAGATGATTACTGGCGACAGCGCAAGCACTCACGGCATCTCCTTGTCCAGAGGAAACACCCTTAAGAAGAAGAACTCAATGCGACGTAGCGCCAGTCTGAAGCGAAGCGGCAGCCGCAGAAGCATGAAGGCAGGGAGTGTACGGAGCTTGGCCCTTCAGAGCTCGCATGAGCCAGATGAGATACACAGCGTCTTTTACTGTCCGGTTCCAACCTCAGGCGCCCCCACCGAACTTTTAGCCCAGCGATTTCAAGGCATGTGACTTACCGAATTTCGACACCTGTTAGATCCTATCGTAGTCGTACTAATGCTTATATCAAATACCAGATTGGCGAAAAATCCTCAAGGACCTCATTGCATATTTCAGAGAGATCCAAAACCACTATGAGCATCGTTCAAAATCACTGTTAAAACTTGCCAATGTCTGCAATAACATCTCCACACCACCTGGATTCCTAGGCTCCGGTGGTTTAGATGAGGCTTTGCAAACTCTTAGGGGCTACCATAAGACAGCCATTATTGAGGCAAACAAGGCCAAAGAAATTGAGGGGGATGTCATACTAGCATTGACCGGATTGCGGAGTGACCTGAACCTTAAGATGAAAGAGATTAAGGGCCTGTCAGGTGATTTTAAGAATTCCGTCGAAAAGGAAATGGAAGGGACGAGGAGAGCCGTTAACGCCCTTCAAGAAATTCTGGGCCAAAGTGAAGTTGACCCTTCGATAACAACTGGAAAGCAAGATCCTTATCTCTTGAGGCTGGCTGTCGATAGACAAGTAGAGCGACAACTAGACGAAGAAAATTACTTGCATCAGGTGCGTGGAGCCCACAGCATGACAGATTGAGAAACATGACTTACATTCGTGCTAGGCTTATCTAAATCTGGAGGCATCAGGGCGGGAATTGGAATCTATCGTCGTTAGCGAGATTCAAAAATCATACAATGCGTACGCCGGTATCCTTAAGCGAGAAGCGGACGCCGGTTACAACACCATTGACGAACTTCGGTCTGGGCCCATCTCCATGCCCAAGGATCGTGAATGGGTCAGCTTTATTCAGAGGGATTCTCAATTTGTCGATCCCGAGATTCCAATAAGGACTCCAGAGCATATTCATTACCCAGGACAGGACCATTTTGCCTGCCAAGAGATTCGAGCTGGTTTGCTTGAGAGAAAGAGCAAGTATCTGAAGAGCTACACAGCAGGGTGGTACGTATTGTGCCCTTGTTTTATAGTAAGTGCTAATTAGGTGACAGGTATGTACTTTCGCCGACCCATCTCCACGAGTTCAAATCTGCAGACAAGACAGGAGCGCCAGTTATGTCACTCTATCTTCCAGAACAGAAGCTTGGTTCTCATTCGACGGAGGGCGGATCTTCCAGCAAATTTATTCTCAAAGGGAGACAAACCGGAACAATGCATCGCGGACATACATGGGTTTTCCGGGCTGAGAGTCACGACACCATGATGGCTTGGTACGAAGATATCAAGGCGCTTACAGAAAAATCCCCCGAGGAAGTTAGCAGCTTCGTCCGGGGTCATGCTCGCACGTATTCACGCTCCTCCCAACGTAGCGTCAGCAGCGACGGCGTGGTCGATGAAGAAGACGACATACCTTTTTCGGCGGATCCCTCAGTCACTGTGCCAAGTTCGCGCCAGGACTCATTCCAGGGTAAATCCCATACAGGTGGGCGATTCCCATCCGAACTCCAGGTCAATGCACAACGGGGCTTACTCGTGCCGTCATCCCCCACCAGTTCAGGTGCCGAGCTTGTAGATAACGAGACAAGCACGAGGGGAGCTCCGGCGAACGGTGCCAACCCGGACCGCGACGTAATCGCAGCCGCTGGGTCACTCCCTGGAAGTGGAATTGGTGATAATTATCCCAATCACTATCATCAGCAGCCCATCGGTCAATCATATGGGAACACTTCAAGCATGAGGATTGATCAAGCTCCAAGCCACGCCGCTGTTGTCGATTACGCTGCGAGAGAAGACGGCGTGAATCCTTACAGTGGCCAACCGGTTGGGCTGCAAAGATACAATTCGGGCCGGTCAGCGCAAGCCCCAATTGTCGTGACGGGTCCTATTCCCATCAGTCTACCTCAGACGTCAGGGACAAGTATCACGAGCCTCAGCGAGAATTCTAGCTTGGCGAGTTCATATAGCGCCCAGCCTCATTCGCTTGCCGATCGATCTAGTATAGCCAAGGACGAGCGGTATCAGCCGAGTATATTAAACGGCTCGCTAAAGCCGGCCCCACGAGGTGCTAGCGGTGAGACCTTCGGGCTGCTGAACGGTCAAACTCGACCAGGTAATGAACGGAATAATAGTATACCGCATGTACCTGGTGAATACCCCCGAGGTACTCCAGCTTGAATACGGCTAGCCTGATCAAACGCCTATTCGAATATGAAAACGACTGTCATTGTGATCAAGATTATCTCAATACCTTGTAGAACCAGTGGGGTTGGTGTCTCCATTCGACGATCAAAACAGTCATATGATTGCGAGAAATTGAAGCTTGCGGTGTGCGAGGTTGGCAAAACAGCCATGTGTTGACTGTAATACCAACAAAGTCAAAAGGTTCTTCTGTGCCAGTTGAAACAGGAAGAATCACATGCCGGTGCCGGAACCCGTCAAAGAAGCATTACTTATTTTGGCTCATTTCCCCGGGCTTTTGGTTACAGCTCATACGAAAGGATACCCCATGAAAGACGGCACTGCAAATTAAGGGATGCTGTTGCATGAGCATACTCAACCATGCCTAATGTCGTTGAATTGTTGTATTAGTTCCCCTATTGTATTCCTCCCGGTGTATGCATAGATATCTCAATAGTTATGGTTTACTATAGCTTTTGTGTATGTTAAGTGTTCAAGGTGGACAGCATGAGAGAGCTGTTGTTTTGTTTTGAATAATTTCCTTTCAGCCTGTATTACGGGCCGCGTGGCAAGAGCACCAGTGAAGGGAACAGATCGAACCAGCGTGCTAGGACTATTTATTAAGAACTTCATGATGAAAGCAATAACACGAAAGTTTCACAAACTAGAACAGGATCGCAATGTACTCACTATGACAGTCAGACCCGCGTGGATGAAGTATACATGCTGAAGACAGTTGAAGAGTCTAGGAATTCAGAAGCACAGATGATGCATGATGTGAACCAACGTAGAAGGCAAATAAAACAACTCAGGTGTGGTACTGAATTGTGTACACAGTAGACATGGTCCCCATCATATGTACACATCCAGTAATAGAGTAGTATTGTTATACTAAGCCTTTTATTCATTCCTAATCCGTTCTTGCATGGCTATTGCAGTCAAAATGGCGAGTATGAGTACATAACTCCCTTTTCCTGACGCAAAGGCCACTTTGAAAAGACGGTGGGAGAGCAAGCAAATTAATAAACCAATCCTGAACGCCTATTTCCCGTGCCGCATGAGCCGTATGAAGTGTAACAAAAACGATAGAGCAGGAGGAGCGGAAGAGAGATTGCGTGACGGAAACCGGGGTATCATCATCATCGTATTCATCGTCCTCCCCTGCTGAAACCACCTCCTCCCCGTCCCCGGCCTCCGAAACCGCCTCCGCCGCCCCCTCTGCTAAATCCTCCACGACCACCACCGCCCCGTCCACCTCCAAAGCCGCCACGACCCCCTCTCGAAGGGCCGCCACGTCCACCGCCGAATCCACCTTTACCACCTCCACGGATAGGGCCACCGCGTCCACCCCGGCCGCCGCCGCGACTCGACTTCTTGACCTTGGGGGCACCGGGGGGAGGCTTGGGCTTGGGCAGGAAGCGCTCGAAGGGGAGGACCTTCTCGGCGCCGATGTAGAACTTGTCACCGGGCTTGAAGCTGCCGGCCTGGATGCCCTCGGAGGGCTTGATGGTGAAGTAGACCTGGTTGATGGGGCCGAGGACCTCGTCAACCTTGCCGACGGACGTCTTGTTCTCTAGGAAGATCTGCGCGTTGAACTGCGGGATCTTGTTCTGCGCGCTTATGCTGCTGCACACCATCTCCCCTTCACAGGCGTGCATGAAGGAGCCCATCTCGAGGATCGTGTCGGGCGGGCCGAAGTCGCGCTGTCCGAAACCGCCGCGGCCTGTGAAAGTGGTGGGTTTTGGTTAGCTGTTTTGTTTTTTGCTTCTTTTGTGTCTTGTTGTTGCTTAGTTTCTCTCCCTGCTCCCTCTTCCTTTTTCCCCTTTGTGTTTTTGCCCCCCTTTTCGCTGTTCAATTCAAACGTGAGAGGAGAGAAACTTACCACCACCTCGGCCGCCTCCGCCAAAGCCTCCCCCTCCACGGCCACCTCCAAAGCCGCGTCCACGCGGCGCTCCTCGCGACATTGTCTTGTAAAGTTGATAAGTATGCCGTTCCCTCTAATTATGCGGTCAATTGGGGACCCAAAATTGATGTATGTGCCGCCGTTCGACAAGGGTCCTTTCGCCGGCTCTTGAAGTTTTGGGATTTCTTTCACCAGTGGAGCTCCAGGTCTGCTCTGGATTTTTTTTCTGCCAGTCTCAATTGGCGCTATACCGAAAAGAGAGAGCTTCCCACTGCTGCAAGGTTCAATTGGGAGTTTAAGATGTGGGGCTCATACGGGCCTTTCGGGGCGGAGAAACGTATGACCTCGTCCACTTATGGTGGCGGTGATGGATTTGTGGCTTGTGTGGCTGTACCATTACAACCTCATACCTAGGTAACCTTAACAGCTGTTTAAATTCGAAGAATTTCGCAGATGAAGATCAGCTGAAAAACTTTGGTATTTATTATTATTTAAGCTGGAATCTATTCAACAATTCCAGTATCCTCTGTATGAATGACAACTCAATCTCGAGAAGTGTGTCACTGCATATTATGTGATGTGTTAGCACCGGCACAAGACAACAAACCAGTGACACAGGCGCACACATGCATTACCTCTTACCAAATCCGAATAAAACTCTCAAAGCGTCATCTCATACTAAGATAAATTACTACCAGTGAGATTTATCATACTCAAGTGCTAATACAGACATGATTGGCTGAGTAGCATCCCTTCCTGGTGCATACTTTGACACAGTTCAGAGAGAATCCAACGCAGTCCACTGTGCAAGGCACCGACGGAGAAACCAGAAACACCCAAGCCCCGAACAAATCAAGCAATTCTCTCAATGAATTTGATCCAAGATAAGTATATCTCTATTGAGCTTAGGGTTGGTTACGTACCGAAGAGCCCAACAAATTTGGTCTTCGGCACAGACATATAGAGCTATAGCCGTTGTTCTCCCCTAACTATGGACGCCCTTGATGGTATCACGGAAACGACTAGAGGATATCATCATGGGTAGTAATACTAGTGTTGACTGGTCAGAGGTTGGAGTATACGGTGAGGGATTTGATACATGCCTCGATCATGTGCCGCTGCCAGACACCCCAACAGTTTTCTCATCTCGCTCCTGATGACGGCCTTTGTTACACACACTGAATACCTTCAAACTGCCGGACATGAAAGTCGCCTACAGGCTTCGGCCGTGCAACCAATAGAAACAAGACTTACATATCGTAGTGAAGCGAAGCTATTCACTCTAGGCTCAAATCCAAGCCTAAGCCCAAGCCAACCAAATATAGTCCACTCAAGAATCAAAACATGCGACGACAGTGGAGTATCCGGTCTAGCACATCCCAGGAAAGCTACGAGAGCCAGTTGTTCATGCCCGCTACACCGCCTTCATGCAGCTATGAGCCTCAGCAACTTGCACCAACTAAAGGGGGCAGAATCCCAATGGACACCGCCCAGTAGGACTATATATTACCTCCTCTCCTCCTTTTCACCTATGTTCGCGTAGCGGCCATCTACATTCATCTACTCTCCCGTGGAAGGGCATTCACTACCTTGCGTGTTTCTAGTTTCTCCATGGATGTCTCGTATCAGGCGATGTCTTGAAAGAAAGTGATATTGGCTATCATCGTCTTCTTCTCAACCTCCAACAATCCGCGCAGATGGTTACGGTAGATGGGTAGATTTTAGAGATGTTGTTGTACTTTGCTTGATCTTCTCTACTAAACTACCTAAATTGGACTTTTTCTCGGTCTCCCTTCGAAATGCAGGCCAAGGAAAAGTTCAGTGCTTTCTGTTACTGCCACGATGAACTTGAAATACTCGCCTGATTTGGTATAATGCTCCTATGCGTGTCACTTTTCTCCAAAGGCAATGGAAAACATTGCAGGTTGTTGGCATATATAGCAGTCCTACTAGGTATTTGAGTACCCGGTGCATCGGTTTTTACCCACACAGACACACACACATAAAAGGAAGTTCGTCCATTTCTGAACCAAGCGGCAAGCAAAATCAACGACTAACCTCAATTCATTCATCATGGCGCGACTTAAGCCCATCATGCCTAAATCTGGTATACCTGCACCTGCTGCATCTGCATCCACATCCGCATCCTTCTTTTCCCCATGTCCTGACGCGGACTTTACATCTGACAAACAGAGCGATCAAGCATCCAGCAAGACGACTACAACTGTCTCTACCCATGCCGCTAAAGGGCGACAAAGCGGCAAGGTTCAAAAGTCCAAGTCTACCAAGGCAAGGAGAGTCAACTTCATGAGACGTGGTTATGTGTAGAGTAGGCTAAAGTATCATTTTCTTTCCTAGATCACCCTTATGCATAATTATTTCAACGATGCTTACATTCCCTGGGCAGATTCTAGGCTAGTTATTCGGTCCGTCTAGTCCATCTAGGTACATCCTACCGGTTCGAGGACAACAGCCGAGTATCTACTCAACAGTTTTGAATTCATTCGACGCGAAACATGTTGCTTGGGTTCAGATAAGATTGTAAGGGATGTCAGACCAATGCTTTAGCAAAGGCCTTGTTGAAAAGGTCCAAGTGGCCATAGTTATAATAATTTTGTTCGTTGACAAGGCAAGTAGGAGGCAGGGATATCTCGGGGATGGGACTGTGGTGCTGTCATGTGAGACATGGCGAAATGGCGCGGTGATATCCCATCTGTGTGGAAATGAAACCGAGATGGACACAAAGTGGCTCATCCCTTGTGTTGATAATTTATCTGTGTCGAGGGAGCGTCGTACAAACATACACATGTACCTACTTACCAGTCTGTGGGCACGTAGTTAAGTAGAGGAAGCGATCTAGCCGAGGTTTGCGTCGTACATGTACCAAGATTGAGTTTCGGGCCGGTAGAAAGGGCTGGGTTGGGGTTCAGCTGGAAGGAAAAAAAAAAAAAAAAAGATTACTAAGCAGCTAATACTGTTAAGAGAAGTACTGTACTTAGGGGCATGTGAACAGATAGATGGGACCGGAGGTAGAGCACAAAGCTTTCATCCAATGTACGTAAGCAAGTATAGAATGGTGAGTGAAGCTGGGCTGGCCTCGTATTAATACTATAGGTAGTGCTGTATGCAGCGTAGGCGAACAACTTAGGCTGAGGTATTAGTGTAGAGACGGACATGGTGAAATTTCACACCAGCGCAAGATTCATCCGAAGTGCAGTTCTGCGTGATTGGCCAATGCTGTGATGTCAAGACGGGACTTCTGAACTAGGTCTGGTGGATTCAAGGCCTCGATCAGTCTCGACCCGAACCCGTCGAGATACCTAGATATACGTACAGTACAGTATACTTAAGTAGAGCTCGAATCTGGCATATGTACATACTTACATAGTAACTAGGTATGTCGGTACCCACTTGGCGCAGGGCAGGAGCCCACACACATCAGTACTGTAATGTAGGTACATGTACATGCATCATGTACTATGTACTGTGTATATGTAGGTATAATGTATGATGTACCTATGATGTGCGATGTGCTTGTACAACGTGGTGATGCACATCATGGCTATGAGGCGCTGATCAGCGAGTGAAAACTGGGAACAGGCGCACTACTACTGTCTGTAAGTACGGTAGGTAAGTTACCAGCTGCATCGAAACAACAATCTTCAGATTTATCATTTATTGAGACCTAGCTCGGTAGGTATCGTACCGCATCGATGCAATGCAAGGGGTACAGCCAGGGGGGCGTATTGGGAGTGGAGATCGTTCCCAGCTGTATGGTAACCCCTCGACGCGGTCAATATGCCTGTAACCCTTCGCCAAGAGGCTGTCATATAATACCTACATAGTATACAATACAAGCCTTGATAGTGTAGGTCTGATATGTCCCCTCGTTTGCCATATAAGTAAGTAGGTATGTAGGTATAGTTGCTAATATTGTGTATGTACTTATAAGCACACATAGTCTAAGTCAGTATACATACATACGTTAGGTAGGTATGTAGTTATAACCTTCCTTATATTATCCCTATCATGCTTGGGGGAAATGAGGGGGACAAAAGAATGGGACAAAACGAAAGGGGGACGCCATCAATACTATTTGCGGTGTGAATAGTTGATCTCGGCCACAAATACATCCCTATCTCCCTATTTGTACGCAAGCAAGTACGCAATAGAATTCCAGATAGACAGATATATTACACACATCCCCCACCAGGTACAACTCCAATGCTTGCAGTGTATGAGACAAAGGCGTCCAAGTAGGTAGGTGTTCAATGCTGCGAGTGCACGTGCCTGTACTTAGTAGGTAAGTAGGTAAATAACCTCCTGTAGGGAAGATCAGGTACCAGATCTGCCAAATCTGCTACATCTGCTAGATATAACAAATGATCCAACACAAATACAAACACTGATAGCTCGTAGCTCGGCCATTGGTATGCGTAGAAGGGGGCGAAGGGGGAAGGGGGGAGGGGGGAATGACACCACTACCAAGGACCAGGAACCAGCCCTCTACTCTACTTACACCGTACTCATGGAATATGGGCAAAACCATGATTCATTTGCCTACGATGATCGTTTCGCAGCAGGTCCACTTCACAAAGCCCTTCTGCTCTAACGATTCTGTCGCACAGCCGGGACACGAGACACGGGATGACCTAGTGCACACACTATCTACTAGGCCTACGACTAATAGTCCTCAAGAGCTCCCCTCGCTCCCCATTAGACCATTAGATACCGAGGATACCTACAACTACATACAATATGGAGGTATCCACACCGAAGCAGCTATTACTTAGTACACCACCGACCTAGCAGGCAAACAAGCTATGGAACCTAGGCTCGAGTCAGGTCTAAGTATCTCTGCTTTACTATATCTGAAGTGGCTCGCAAGTGAAGGCGTGTTGGTGAGTCCTGCCGTCGTCTATCCAATTCCTCGCTGGTAGGCCACAAGACAACGACGACTATGAGGCGAGACGGCGAAGATGTCGAGGCTACGGCCCAGCTAGTACGCAAGGAAAATGACGAGCACACTCACGAGAATAGCGACTTTGACTACCAGGACGATGATAGCGCACACGAAGCATACAACAACGACAGGTACCGGTCCTCGTCCAAACCGTTATGGAGGCGTCTGCCGTTTGTGTCTATGCCAAACTCGCTACCGCCTATTCTCAAGTCAAACAAATTGAACCCGCGGTTCATCGCCTTGATATTCGGTATATCATTTGTCACTACAGTTCTCGTCATTTATTCGTATAGGCCGCCCCGGCCAACCGACGCTTCACCGGCGCCTGCTGCAACGACAGCAACGACGACGACAGCGACAGCGTCACTTATATTAGCTGCTCCTACCCACACCCCTTTATTTAAGCCCGATCCAGAATTCTGCACCACTTGGCCTGTCGATGAAGATGGGAGCTACGATCTTGACTCTCAAGACCGCTCTAGTGAGATTCTTGAGCACCATAGCATTGCGCCGGAAGGGGGTTGGCGAAAACCGGAGGGCTTCAGAATCATTGCCATGGTATTTTTTGGGAGAAAGCGATACGTCGACATTCTTGATTGCTACCTACGACAGAATCTCGCATCGAACGGTGGCTATGTCGATGAAGTGTGGTTCATGGTCCACACTGAAGTCCAAGAAGACATTTCATGGCTGAATGCTCTTGTGAAGGACCTGCCTGATTACAAGATCGTCGGCCAAGAAGGCTGTCAATCGAACAACGGTAGATATGGGTGCTTGTGGGAACATGCCACGGCAGATAATACTATGTACATTAAACTTGATGATGATATCGTAAGTTGCATTCGATCCTCTCCTTATCCGACCTGGTTTGATCTAGTCTAGTCGAATCAGTACCCCCAGACTTTAGCCACCACATAGAAAAATTGTTGACAAGCTCATTCTTTCTACCAGGTTTATATCCATCAGGATGCCATACCGCAACTAGTGCATACACGACTTGCCGTACCACATGCTTACGCAGTTTCAGCCAACTTGGTCAACAGCCCCATCACGGGGATGGAACAATTCCATCATAATGCTATCTACCCATTCGTTCAGGACCCAAACAATCAACCACGCCATCATGCATCAGAGACATGGCGGCTTTCGGAGCAGGCGAGGTATCCAAAGAACAAGTTGAATAAGTGGAAAACCGGGAGCGATGAAAGTATCATGTATCCTAAGGTGCCATATCGTGGCCATCCTTTCGTTTTGCTCTCCCATGATAATTTTGATCTCCTTCAGTTAGTGCCCTGGCGTCATTTATTACCCCTACTAGACAGGTTTCTGGCTGCACTGATCCTGCGTGTTTCCGAAATATCCACCGAACTTTTGCTCTTACTGGTAATTACTGACTCTGGCTCGTAAATAGTACTTCAATGGGAAGATACGATCAAAACCCTGGCCCAGATCTTATCGCTTTTAGTCCGGTGTGGAGGTCATGGGCCATGGCTGCCCAGCAACAGTACTCTTTACTATACAATCTCGAGATGAACCAGATATCTCGCTACTTCTTTGGACTACCAGCAACATACCCGGAAGATGCCAAAGGGCCTGACGCAAATTCTACTGTGTCGACACCACAGCTAGACGACGGGGAACCTGTATTGGGTGGCGAGCAGATTTTCGACACGCAATTTCGGCGGTACAATCTCAACTTTTGCGTTGTCTGGGGCTCTGACATTAAGAAACATCTTCCCATGAACGACGACGACGAGGACGCCATTACAAGACTCATTCCCAGGTCAACGGGGCGACCATTCATTATTGATACGCGAGCTGTTGTGGGCCATTTTAGCTTCTTCACTCAGGCCGAGCAAATACGCCAGACCGATCTGCTAGACAGGTGGCGTGCGTTTGCAAACGAGGCCGTGTGTGCACCGGATAATCTCAAGAAGCCCTGGGATTTACGCTGTCCTATGTTTAACAAATAATATCTATTCTCGTGCGAGACGAGGTTTTTTTTTTCATTGGTTTCCAAAAGAAGTTTAACGATGGAAGATGAGGAAATGGCGTATTAGATACCTCGAGCGGACTTCTCATATCATCATTCTTCAGCTAAAAAGTCTTGGGAGATAAATAAAGTCGCAGGCATTTTTGGCTGCTGTTATGCATTCCACTAATTAATCAGCTAACATTGTTCAGGATCCCTGATTCCCTTAAAGGCAGAAGGCAGATTTCTAGCAGGGCGGATTCAGAGACAATGGCCGAGGAATTTCCTGGGATGGTTGCAATTTTATGGAGGGGGAACTAATACCACGACTATAAGAAGGAGGAGGCGGGTAGTGGAGAAAAAGAGAGAGCGCGTAGAGATAAAAGATAAATACCGAATCTTTGCCTGATAAGACGCTGAAATTATACGTGGAAGTTAAAGTAGGGACGATGTCGTACTTTGGTCCGTTCTATGGTCTGTTTACCAACCTTTAACGGAATGGACCAGACAACATTGAGAGATAAAAAGTCTAGGGTCGCCGATCGTGCTTATAGAATTCAATATAAAATAATAAGTCTCTCTCTGTGACTATGTTCTATATATTCTCTGGCTTTTGCATACAAATGTTAAAATATTGGTATGGAAGCCTTTAAGATTGGAGGTTCTGGCATTCAAAATTGGAATCCCCTGTTGGCATATATAGCAGTACTATTAGGTATTTGAGTACCTCCGGTCTTTGAGTCTGCCATAATAACTCTTCAATATTTGTGTCCATTGCGCGCATAATGCCTGTACCGTTACATCAGAGCTACATGCTACATCCTTCGCAAACATTCCGTACATATAGTTCTCGTCACATGTACGTGTCCTAACGGGGCTTAACTATGCATAATTTCATTACCAATAACCAAACATACCAGTTATCAAACTATTTATTGGTCAATAGCTTCCACCCAGCGCTTCTTATTATAAGGACCGTGGTAATGAAGTGGCCCTGATATTTATTAACATCCTGTGCCCTAGCTGTTGGACCTCGTTTTATCTTAGCATGTGAAACCTTTTTTTCTTTCTTATGAATACAAATGTGATATAACTGAAAGACAAGCTGCCCAACATAACAATGTTATAGAATATATGTAGATATTCTATGTAATGCTAACCATTATAAAGGGGTTTTACGCCACCTGTGGAAAAGCTTGATACCAGGAGACAAGGACAGTATGCATAACCCCTATGTTATAAGTCGTTACTCTCCTCTGGGCCTAATACGAAATGGAACGAGGGCTTTCGAAGAATCTGTTCCAAGACCAAAGCTCTTGGATTCGATTTCAATGTTATCAAGTTTGAACTCGATATCAAACTTACTAACCAGAGTGGCGAGGGTTAGTATTATGGAATTTTTGGCCAGGAACCGGCCAGGGCACATGAGACGTCCTCCTGGGAGTGAATGTTAGCTACCAATAACACTCTTCGTCTTAAGGTAACGCACCTCCATAAGGAATCCAAGATCCATCAAGGCCATCCGTAGAGAAATATGGTCCACTCCTTTCTACGGGGTCGATTTTGCCTGTCGAGGTCCCTGCAACACTCTTGCGACGCTCAGGCTTTATTGGGCCAGTTGAGTTGTCCGACGGATCAGTTATAAACCTGTCGGCACAGAATGAATTCAGAGGAAAGCGTCCCTTGTAAGTGTTCCAGAAGTCGGGGTTCATGTGTGAGAAGTGCGAGTTGACAAGACCGACACTGCGCCTCGGTAGTATGTATTGACCTAAAGGTACATTCGAATGGGAAGAATAAATGATTGTGTAAGTCTTCACATGCAAACGAAGAGTCTCGGCGTAAACAGAGTTTAGTAGAGGGTTTGCTGCAAGTTGTTTTGGGTCAATATCCTTTACATCCCGGTCACCAAACGAGTCGTGCAACTCTTGTCGCACACGCTTGGCAAGGCTTTTGTCTTGGAATATATGAATCATCGCCATGGTCGTATTTCGCACCATGTTCTCGATTGAGCTACCATAATGTTAGAGAATTATAGTTTCCGAGGTTCTGCAGGAATTCTAAATCTTACGCCCATGCGATCCCCAGATCTGAAGACGCAAGTGTAATGTCATCTTGGATATGCACAAAATGATGAGAATGAAAGAAAAGGCTATTGAAAGCCGGTAGTTGGTGTGTATCATGGCGGAATGGTTGCACTCTTTTGCTGCTTGATTACGAAGACTAGCCATTACACGATGGGATGTCTCGAGCAAACTTAGGACGACGCAAAGGGGTGACTAAACAATGCAAGACATATGAGGAAGAAATCACAAGAAGAAAGCGACCGTCCAGTGATGTTGTCATAAATCTTTGCCTAGTCCTTGCCACGTTCAACATTCAGCTTCCGAGCAGTATAACAATCCTCTCCCCACATATTATTCGTCAGCGCTTCACAATACTACCGCTGCATAGGCAAATACCGCAGACTCGGACAGCCTTAGGTAACTAATCTATCAAGTGAAGGTACTCGATATAGATGCACTTGGCGCTATCTAGTTACCCTGTCAGCGCAATATGTTCGGGCCTTTGAAGTCTTCCCCTAAGGATCAAACCAATGATTGTCGGGTTGGAGGCTGGCTGCCTATATTGTTGGTGATTCTGCAGGATGCGTTAGCTGCGTGGGCCTTCATGTCCTTAAGAGTACTGAAATCGCAAGCATTTCCCCTCGTGTCACAGGGAAGCTGCTGGGGAGGCAACCTCACAGGATTGCCCTCTTTTATACGGAAGTTTGGAACTTCCAGTACTCTGCCATTGGAAAAGTCTAACAACCTCGACGCTACCACCGAAACTAACACATATGTCGAGCTACGCTCCATAGATTATGAATACCATACACATCTAACGACCCCGAGCAGACAGGCGAAAAATCCATCAGCATGTGAAGTGACACTCCCATCCTAATAGTAACGGGTTGGTGATTGGAAAAGGCATGATGGTTGGGAATGGGGGCGGGGGTGACTGGTTTATTCTAGTCTATATCGAGAAGGACTTAGTGAAAGGCTGAGAGCCACCATGTACTTAATGGGTTATCTACGTGTAAAAATCGGCCGCTATTATCGCGGAGATCTTTGGCTATCTGACCCAACCAAAGTAAGTGAGGACCAAAACAGCCAGCTTTTTGACTTCCTCGCTGGATCATGACAACAGTGGTGATGAATTTTTAATCCGAATTATGCAAATAACGCTACTTGAAGTATGCCAAGAATTCCCTATAGGGTATAGGGATAATTCGGATATTGGTCAAACAGGGTGCTTATCCCTTTTTTCATTACCTGTTGGGATGCCTATTTATGTAGTCTTGTATTCCACAGTTGTTTCTCTGACAAAGAGGGGCGCACTCGTTAAATGATCTATTTACTTGCCTAACTCTTACACATTGTCTATATTGCTATCATTGTGGTCGCGATGCCAGTCCACAGGCTCACCTTTACGACTATTGGCGTGGCGTTGATCGCTCTTCTCCTTTCCTGGAGATCATCTCTACTTTCGCCCACCACGATTGCAATACCACCTGTGGTCGGCCGAAACAACACAGCTCTATTCCTAGTAACGAGTGACTACGGGCTGTCTAATGTCCATGTAGCCACTGCGCAAGCTCTATTAGAACGGCACACTCACGTCCAGCTGCATTTCAGCTCTTTTAAGGGGATGGCGCCAAGGCTAGAACGCCTCTCTTCGCACAAGAAGACGTCACAAGGAAAAGAGGTTATGTTTCATCCTATTGACGGCTTGTCGGTCATCGATTCATGTCGCACATTTGGCAAGAATACTTCAAATTCTATCCACCCCCCCGGGTGGGCAGGTATTAGTCAGTTATGCAAAGACATGCAATTGTTCATCTCGCCGTGGACAGGAGAAGATCACCTAGCAATCTACGAGCAACTGAGCAGAATAATCGACGAAGTCAATCCTGCTGTTGTCGTGTTAGACACTCTTTTTCGCCCAGCTATTGATGCAACAAGGGACAAGAATCGTTTGCACGCCATCATCAGCCCGAATACGTTGATAGAAAACTTCCCTGCTGAGCAACCATGGGGGAAAATGTTTTGGAAATATCCTGCGTAGGTTTTTGCTATCCGACCATAACTCAACTTACTGATTGAAGGACACTAGCTTGGGCTCTGGATTCCCATACCCTGTACCATGGAACAAAATCCCTGAAAATATCCTGCTAAACTTGAAATTTATATCGACGATGCTATGGATGCCAGATATACGGGATAAACAAAGATATCTCGAGTCAAAAGGTCTCAAAGATCCTATCAACTTTTTTGCATTGCATCGGCCAGACGTGCCCTGGCTCTCTCAAACTATGCCTGAAGCAGCAATCCCCGTTGATGTCATCCCCCAGAACGTGACGTGCACAGGTCCTATCACGTTATCTGTAGGCACGGTCGCTGAACAAGATGAAGAACTTGCCGAATGGCTAATAAGAGCGCCGACTGTTCTTGTCAATCTGGGGTCTGGCTTTGAGTTCTCTGAGCAAAACGCTATCATCATGGCAGAGGCTATTACCAAAATCCTTGATTCGAGCAATGTCCAAGTATTGTGGAAAATTAAGAAGGATAGCTCGTATACTGACCAATTCCTGGAGCCTCTCCTCCCGTTTGCCGATGTCGGTAGAGTGAAGGTCGAGCGCTGGCTGGCTGCCGATCCATCATCGCTGTTAGAATCTGGGCACGTCATTGCATCTGTTCACCATGGAGGTTCTGGCTGTTATCATGAAGCCATTAGGTAGGTTCTTTGCCCTATCATGACTTTACGCAAGCATTCACTAACCCAGGCCTGCAGCGCCGGGATCCCCCAGGTGATCTTACCACAGTGGCTAGATCTATATGGGTTCGCGCAGCTGGCCGAGTATACTGGCGTGGGCGTGTGGGCATGCCGAGAGACCAGTCCAATGTGGACCGTCAGTTGCCTATCTGGTGCTATTTTGAGTGTGATCAATGGAAGTCAGCGTCAATCTTTTCGGGACAAGGCCCAAGCGCTTCAATTGTTGGCGCAAGCCAATCCTGGTCGATACATCGCGGCGTCGGAGATTGCAAGACTAGCAGGCACTGGCACATGAAAGTTATAGCCAACATGCATGATTCACTGGCCACGGTAGCTTGAGAGCTAGTACTTTATAGGGAAGAGAGCCGAATACTGGAATCGCGTGTGAGAGAATGTGGACATTACCTTCATTGTTCAAACTGATCAACCACAAGTTCAACAGTCGACAGTATCAGGCTTAACGGACGGGTCTCGCTGGGTGTCTATCACACTCTATTTGAGCCGCCAATACGCCAAGTGGCACTAGACATGGGATATTTAGCCAATCACACTAGAATATGTAGCTAACATTCAGTATGTTTTGACCCATTTCTGGCTTGGTAGCTATGTGGCGTAAGGCTGCGGCAGGTGGGCCGACCATGACTCAAATTTTTTATCGTCAGATCTTTATCACGCCCCCGCCCCTCAACTCACATGAGGCCAATGTGTTCGGCAAGACAGCGATCATCACTGGGTCTAACGGCGGCATAGGCTTTGAGTGTGCCTCTCAGTTGCTCGATCTGGGAGTCGGCAAGCTAACCCTCGCTGTGCGCAGAGTGGAGTCCGGGGATGAGGCAGCGAGGAGAATCTGCGGAAAAAATTGAAGTATGGAAGCTAGATATGTCCGAGTATGACTCCATCATGGCTTTCACGAAGCGTGCCGATGCTCTCGCTCGACTGGACATAGTGATCTTGAACGCAGGTGTTCGCAAAGGTACAGAAGTATTCAACGCATCTACCGGATACGAGGAAAGCATACAAGTCAACTTTCTATCATCTTTTCTGCTCCTGGTTCAGTTACTTCCAATCATCAAAGCCAAGAGACAAAACTCCGAACCTGGTCGCATCACCCTTGTCTCCTCAGACTCGGCTCGGATGGCTTTGCTAGAAGAACGAAACGAGTCTCCTATCCTGCCTGCCTTTAAGAGGAATCGCGCGGTTTTCAATAGTGGCGAGCAATACTACGTACAACAGGTCGAAGGTGCTCGTGCAACTTGTGATGAGCCAAGCTCTGTTGCAAACATCAACATGGCCACCCCCGGCTTCTGCCGTGGTACAGGCATCATGCGGGAACTATACAGTCCTTTAGTCGCGTTTGTTGCAGACAATGTCACCCGCTTGTTCGGCAGGTCTGCCACAGTTGGTGCCCGTGTCATTGTCAATGGTTGTCTCAAGGATATTGAAACTAAGGCTGTTCAGACCCCACATGATCACACGCCACTTTGTGTGCAACAAGAACCATGCAGATGTTGACGCATAAGTACTTCGTTGATACGCGGCGATCCTAACACAACTGTCACGTTTCTAAAGTTCAGCTAAGGGTAGTACCGGTACGCACAGGTATCTGCGTAAAGTACCTACCGGTACTTAGCGTTGGCTAACTACTGCCAGTTCCTGCGATGGGGTGGGTATTCCCCACTTTCTTTCGGGACGGCCCGCGTGCGTAGTCCCCACCTATTTTTACATACAGCTTTAGAGCTACCTTTGGTACTAGCCGCTGGCCATCACTTTTAATTGTTCGGCTACGGGTAACCAACCCTATACGGGCTTTTCTGCAAAGTGAATGGGCAAAATGAGTTCAGCCCACCCCTATAAACCTGAGAGTAGTCAACCTATTCTAGGTAGGCTTGCAAAACTGACCTTGTTAGGTAGGCACTCTTAGCAGGCTAGCTTTGGAGGCTATCCCGCCCATAGTGACTTGCCCGCAAAATTCCCCTATCTTGAGTACATGCCAAGACCAGTCTAACAGGGGGCCGGGGAGAGGTAGGAGAGTATACCATAGGAGACATACCCCTGTATCCATTCTTGTTTTGCTAGCCGTCATAGATTCCGGCTTCGTGGTGCCCCCATCAGATCTACGGCCCTGGCTCGGCTGGTATTGGCGTATAAATTCAATCGCCTACACCTATGAAAGCTTGATGCTCAACGAAGTAAGCAATCCGGTATATTAATTAGAATATGACTCGACTAACCCAGTATAGATGGGAAATCGGTCATTCAGCTGTTCAACAACTGTGCCAGATGGTGCCACATATGCAGACATACAGACAAGTAACAGGATCTGTGTTGCTATCGGGGGTGTCACGGACGAACAGGAGGTCCATGGTTCTACATATCTGTTGGCTAAATACGGATACTAGTCTGATCACCTTTGGAGGTACTTGCTTCTCGATGATATTGATCAGTAGCTCAGTTAGCTGACATTCGGAGATGGAAACCTGGCCATTCTTTATGCTATGATGTTGGCGTTTTGTATTGTTCACCTTGTTGCGGCCCAGTTGGTGCCCATGCAGCCATCGAGGGGTGAAGTCTTGCAATTTAGGAGCAGGAAAGTTCGCTCTAAGGATCCCTATAGCAATATGGAATCGGGTAATTTCACGAGGCGCGGAAAAGGCCGACAGTATGCTAGTCCACCGGTCAACCAGGATCTAGTGTCCACAACAGATACCGTCCAGGATACCACCAGGCCTCCCCGACAGACCTCTAGCGTCTATTGGAAGTCCCTAGGATACGCACTCCAGAGTCGACATAATACGCACCAGATTCTTCAAGATATTGAAGGTTGGGTTATGCCAGGGACACTAACTGCCCTTATGGTAAGATATCGCATAGTCCACGCAGCCTGCTTACCTGGCTAACTACGGATGGTTCGTTTACCTCTAACCTAGGGTCCCACTGGCGCTGGTAAGACCACTTTGTTAGACGTTTTATCTCACCGAACGACAACTGGGGTCATTACTGGGCAATCAACCATTTCGGAGTGTTACACGTGTAACCTCTGTACCGGTTGAAGAATGCAGTTCGCCTTGCACTTCGGCCGTACGAAGGACCATAGCAGGCTGTTCATGACCTTCCAAGACATGCAGGCAATATTGGGCGATATTGGAAAGTGAGGTTATACAGACTTCGCTTCTTGAAACAGACCCTAGAGACCCAGGCGGTCTGGGCTGGCAGATCATTTGTATATAGAGTCATCTCAAGCCACCAACAGCCGAGAAGGAGTTGGTTGGTCAAGGACTACTGCAGCCCTAGTTGATCATTGTAATCAGAATCCTCAGTTCCAAGCCCAGTTCAACTGCCCTTGTTATACGGAGCGAATCAAGTCTGGTTTAAGCTGCCAACGACGCATCGGGTATGCTCAGCAACAAGACGTCCATCTCCCATCTACAACGGTCCGGGAAGCTCTTGAGTTTAGCGCTTTGCTCAGACAGCCCAGCAAGATCTCAAAAAGAGAAAAGTTGGACTATGTGGAGACAGTCTTGGAGATGCTTAATATGCAATCGTATGCCGATGCGATAATTGGTCAACCTGGGGAAGGTCTTAACACAGAACAGCGTAAACGATTGACCATTGCCGTCGAGATGGTTGCTAAGCCGGATCTTTTGCTGTTTCTTGGTACGTCATGGCACTACCCTTGCAATCAATAAATTCCGGATCAACCTCGCCATCCACACTAGGCTGATATTCTTACAGATGAACCGACATCGGGACTTAACAGCCAGATAGCATGGTCTATCTGCTCCTTGTTGCGCAAACTAGCGAGCAATGGCCAAACCATACTCTGCACGATCCATCAGCCCTCTTCTCAGCTTTTCAACATGTATGATCGTCTACTCCTCCTAAACAAGAATGGAAGAACAGTATATTTCGGCGATATTGGTGTTAATGGTTCCATTATGACAAGGTATTTTGAAGAAAATGGGGCACCTAAGTGCCACCCTGACGAGAACCCAGCAGAATGGATGATGAATTTTACTACTGTTGACCTGACTGACGAGACAGCTATTGAGCAAGACTCAAGAGGCGGGGAATGGTCACAAAAATGGCAGCGCGGAGAATGCAGGAAGTTAGTCTTGCGATAGATTGTAGAGGCTGATATTTCGCAGTCTGCTCAGTCTTCTTCCCATGCGGAAGGTGGCGATGAATATGCGACCTCGTATTGGTGCCAGGTCGGATTCCTCACGAAGCGTATTTTTCGGGACCAGTGCAGAGATGGGACTTATCTTTATACGAAAGTCACTCTTTCAGTCGGCCTGGTAAGCCCTCCCACACTCAGAGTCAGCCGCCTATTTCCAACATTCAGCTTACTCGCTTTCACAGGCTTTTATCAATGGCATATCCTTTCTAAACACCCAACTCAGTATTCAGGGTGTTACTAGTATTCTGTTCTCCTCTTTCCTCCTCCTGCAGATGTTCACAAGTGTCGGTCAGCTTGTCAGCACTCGCCTTGCTGCTAACCGCGACCTTTTCGAATCGCGCGAGCGGAATTCGAAAATGTACTCATGGTATGCTCTTCTTATAGCTAATATACTAATCGAATCGTCATGGAAAATTTTGATTTCGATCCCCATGTTTGTTGTATGATACTATCCCACCGGCTTGCAGCATAATGGCGATGTAATGTTTGGAACCCTTGAACGTGGAGCGTTGGTTCTGGTTCTAGTATTTTTCTTCAACATCTGGTCATGCACATTGTGCCAGGTGTTTGCCGCGAGCCTCTCGCAGCCTGGGACCGCTTTACAGTTAGCAACATTGTTTTACTGGCTCTCTCTCCCGTTTTGCGGGTAAGTACCTTCCGAGCTCGTGTAACCCTATATTGTTTAGGTTGTGTTGCTGACATGGAATACAGAGTCATTATCTCACCGAATAGCCTACCTAATTTCTGGATTTTCTTGTATCGCTCTTCTCCCCTTACATACTTCGTACAAGGAATAGCAGTGGCTGGACTCTCCGGTGCCTATATAACATGCGCGCCGGTTGAGCTTATCCAAATCCCGGTTCCTGATATTCGACGCCTTCAGGATTGTAGGCAATATCTAGAGGCTTATATTCTCGAGTCCGATGGCTACCTCGTGAACGCGGATGCCACAGATTATTGCCAATTTTGCCCAGTATCCAATGCTCACTCTGTCTTAGGACAACTCGGCATTGAGACGAGGGATCCATGGCACAATGCATATCTTCTATCTTCCTACATCGTCTTTAATGTTCTGGCGATATTCCTTGTGTACCGTTGGTCTAGAGTAAGTAAGGGCAAGAGTCTCTAGGCGTATCATGACGATATGAACAACATGCAAACTGGGTCTCCTGGTTATGTTGCGCATATTTTGAGTCGCGGTCATTGGATATGAGAGGTTGGGATTGTTGATATGAGGTTTTCAAAGCATCTTCTCATTGTAATTGTGTCTGACGGTGTACGTAAGCTTGTCAAGAAAGAGCCGTGTCAGCAGGGTAGTCTACGCTCCAATTACTAGTAGAGATAGCTCAACTAGCTTCCGCTCACCCCTAGCAGATCCCCTATATCAAACTGGCTATTTGACAACCACCGCCTTGAATACTTTTACTTACTAATACTCAGCTAGTAAGTAAATACTAAAGAATTACTAATTCAGTACTTACTATTCTCACAACCCTGCTAATGGCCTAAGACCGCTTGGAGTATTCTCCTCGATAGTCGGGGCATCTGAAGCTGTGCCAAACGGAACGACACCCTCTGTCTGGCGGTCTTCCATGAGAGACTGTATGAAGGAGTGGCCTCATTCCACTCATGTTCGTTAACGGCCAATATTCTAAAGTTTATAGCAAGACTTTCTGCATGGATCATATCTCACTATCTCTAACATCGGGTTTTCCAACGCGGTGGGCTTACTTGTGTACAAGTTAATATACCATTATACCTCCATGAACGCCCTTCACCCCTCCAACCGTCAAACATCGTTTAGTCATGTAATCGCAATCCCATTCGTCCTACCAAACAAGCCTAAATTCATAAAGAAAACACTCAATTTTCCCGTGCATTCGTCTTAGCACTGACTTCAGCCGTCATCTTCAAACTCCTCGGTGCGTCCTCACGGGGCATGTACAGCTCGACCAGCCGTAGGCCATGGTAATTGGTAGCGAAGTCCTCGTCGGCAAGCAAGGTCTCCAGTTCGCCGGGCGTGTGCACCGCATAGCTCTTGACTGTCGCGGGCGAACCGCCGAAGACGGTGCCTAGTTCCCGGTACTGCCACGTCGCCACGTCGTTGTACGAGGCGTCCATGCCGTGGATGAAGCGCTCGATCGTGTAACCATCGTTACAGATGACGAAACTGGTACGCGAGTTAGTGTTTTGATTTCCACCGCTTGCGTTTTCAGGGATCAGAAAATGAAAGTAATGATCAAGGTCGACTTACATGATGACATCCAAACCATGCTTGATCATGGTACTGATCTCTTGTGCTGTGAGTTGCAGACTGCCATCGCCCTCGAACAGGATCGTTCGGCGCTTTCCGCCAGTGTCCTTCGCCGCGAGGGCAGCGCCTTGACACGCACCCACAGCCCAGCCTATGCTGCCCCAGAGGGTCTGGTTCAAGGCCGTGACGTTGGGCGGGAATATCGTTTCCCAAATTCCAAAGTTAGCCGTGCCCGTCTCCGACACGATGATGTCGCCTTCCCGGAAGAAATTGGAGATCCGCGGCCAGAACCACGCCTGCTTAATCGGCCCATTGATGCCCTCAAGCGCCGCTTCTGGAGATGGTGATGGAGTTGGTAGGGACTGCACCTTGAGCTTCTCCGTGTCGACACGCTGCGTGATCTTGCGCAATACACCTCGCATCTTGACGCCTGGATACTCGGAATACCGGACGACACAATGGTCGGTGTGGAAGTCGATCGTGTTGAGCTGGGACAGGCGGTATGAGAAGCCGGCCGTATTGAAATCGCTCTTCAGGGAACCGATGCTCAGTACAAGGTCTGAACCTTCAACCATTGTTTTGATCTCGGGATGGCTGGCGCTACCGGCGTAGACGCCACCGTAAGAAGAGTGAGTTTCGTCGATGGCGCTCTTGCCCATTGGTGTCACGAATACGGGGAGTTTTGTCTTGTCGATGAACGCGTGCACCTCCTCCAGTACACGGGACCGCACGGCGCACGCATCGACGAGGACAACCGGCCGCTGGGCAGCATGCAAATATTTCAGTACGACATCGACTACGTAGTCCTCCTTCGCCTCTTCATTCGCCGGTTCCGAAAGGTCGATCTCCTTATCTAACAGCTCTCCTTCAACCTTTTTCGTCACCATATCAGTCGGCAGCATGATATAGACGGGGCGGGTACGTAGGTAGCACTCGCGTAGCGCATGGTCTATCTGAGAGGCGATCTCGGCTGGATCGTTCAGCTTGGCCACGACACAGGAGATGCCGGCGCTCATGTTGGCGAAGGCATTGAAGTCGCCGTTGCCCAGCGTATGATGTAGCAGCATGCCGCTGCGCTGAGAGATGGTTGATGGGCACCCTACAATGTGCACAACGGGTACCATCTCGCTGTAAGCACCAGCTAAACCGTTGATGGCGGAAAGCTCGCCGACACCGAAAGTGGTGACGATAGCGCCCATGCCTTTGACTCTTGCATAGCCATCGGCGGCATATGCTGCCAAGAAAGCGGTTAGTTGAGGGCTATCTGTCTAAAATTGATGTGGGACGGCTCACCTGCGTTGAGTTCATTGCAATTGCCAACCCATTCGAGCCCAAGTTGGGGTATGTAGTCCAGGGCGACTAGGTTGAAGTCACCTGGTAAGCCATGGATGGAGCGAATACCAATCTGGCGGAGTCGTGTGAAAAGGTACTCAGCAACATCCACCGGCTTATTGAGATTGGTGGTCCTGATGTCACTTTGCGGCATTCTGGTAGGGGGGGGGGGGGGGGGGGGGGTTTAAAATGATCGTGTTCTGTTTGTTTATAAAAAAAAGATTTTTTTTTTTTTTTATACGTATTGGTTTTTTTTGTTTAAAAAATCAAA